TGTTACGAAACTTCCATTTTTTTTGTTTTATTCTTTAAGAAATGTTCTATTAAACTGAATGTTTATTTTTTTTGTAGGTTAGGCTTCTAGAAATTTAGAAATTAGGAAAAATGGCAAGTTTTATACGTTTCATTAAAAAACTTCCATTTTTTTGATTTTACTTTTAATTTTTATGCTTTTTTTATTTGAAACTTTACCTTGTTATGGTTGTATTACTAGGGGCACTTTGTCAATGGAAATTTAGTACATTGATCACTTAAAAATCTGCAGCAATCCAATTATAATAAGAGGAATTAATTTTACATACAATTCTACATTAGATAATGTATTCAATATAAAATACATATGTTAATAATATACAATAGAATATATGTTAATAAATTAATACATACATATTATTGGATGGGGGAGTAGCTATATTGGTCACAGGACTGAATGATTGGATGAAAATGGGCCATGTAGTGGCCATTTTCACCAGGACCCCGGATATCTAATATAAAGGTCATAATGGACTTTTGGCCAAAAACACCCCTTTTTGCTGAAACTCAAAAAATCGTTTTTTGTAAATATCTCAGCATCCAGTAATTCAATTTTAATGAACGTTTTTTTATTTTGTAGCCCTCATTTAGCTCTACAATTTAAAAAAGAGTTCATCAAAATTGGACCACTGGATGCCGAGATATTTACAAAAAACGATTTTTTGAGCCCCTGAAAAATGGGCCAATCTGCCGAAAGTGTGACTTATGACCTGTTTTGGAGATATCCGGGGTCCTTTTTCACCAATCAATGAAGGGCTCTGTGACCGATATAGCCCCACATCCAATAAAAGTGTTATCATTCTGACGTTTTTGATCATGCATTAATTAATAACATCATAAATAAGTTTTCTATAAATTTCATTTTTATAAGCTTAATTTAAACTTTTCCTACAGAATATTCATTTACGCCATTTTTTTACTCCACTTTATTATATCAATATTTTGTTATTGCTATGGCTAATAAAAATATCGGTCTATGAAAATCTGCATGATCCTATTTGGCTGAACGATAATACAATGTAATATATGTTAATAAATTAATACTACAATTATACCATTGCTATATGCATTTTAATAGATATATATGTGTTTTTATACATTATTATACACATTTTTAAACTATCATTGATTTACTATGTGTAGCTTAGCTTTACACTTAAATTGGTGTTATTTTGTGCGTTTTTAAACATTTTTAAATGGTGTTGATTGACAAAGGGTTTGCATTTCTACACTTTTTGGCATTGAGCAACACATGGCATTTTTCAACACTTTATATGCCTGTATAAAACTTCCTGATGTTAATCATTTCATCTTAGGTAATTATTAAGTACCAATGAAATAATTATCATTCACTTTTATATAAAACTAGGGATTGTGATCATATGGAGGCTTTGTCTCCCATTTGTTAGCTATGCTCATAGTAAAATTTTTAATTATAATAATGTAATGTATTTAACTTTAATAAAAGTTGTATAGATATAAGTTTTGATATAATATATATGAAATTTGTGTGGAATTTAATCCTGACATTTTAAATAGATAATTTCTTCTAACCTAATATATTCTTTTTTGACTTTTTCATCTGCTTTAAATGCATCCAGTGTAAGAAAAAGAATTATTACATCATCCAAAAACCTACATCTGCTTATTGCAACTGATATGCCTGATCTGGTGCAAATATTTGGTCATCTAAATGAAGTGATGCTTTGTTAATGTTATTGCTTGTATTTTATGAACTGTTAGGCAAAAGTATTTTGTAGTGGAAATTGGATTCTGCATGCAGGTGTTCCATTAATGTTAAAATATACTAACTCTAGATATATTTCAACATCAACTATTCCTCTATTTATACAAAATGCTACTCTTACTATTTCTTGTTCCTTATTCATATCTGTGACAATACCAATTGTACCATTACAGATTTGTTTATCAATATATTTATTATTAAGGAACATCACTCAACAGCCTACTTGTAACCTTACAATAAAAGATAAGTTTGTTTTATATTTCATCAGATATTCTGAATTTTCATATTCTTGCACCTCTCCAATCTTCATTAATAATATCTTTTGAATGTGAAAGTAAGTATTTTTCAATTTCAATTGGAAGAGTATTGTAAATTTGAAAATTGATTTGCTCTGCTATTTCCCTATATCCAACAATGTGTGTTATATCTAGTAACATCTTTTAATGACAAATTATTTGTGCTTTCTTGAAGTTTCTTGTATAATAATTTTTTTGATGATTCTAAAATGTTTCCAAATCTTACTTCTTCCAATAATTTAAAATACTGAGGGTCATATTCTTGTCTTTTTGATTGTCTTAGAAAAAGTGGATAAAATAATTTTCATACTGGTAATTCAAAAACATAATTTTCATTTACTGGTGGTAGTTGAAACAAATCATCAAGAACTATAACACTTATTCCTCCAAATGGTTGAGAGTTTGAATGCAGTCTACACAGGTTGAAAAGTGAAAAATCAGGTATCAATCAGTCACCAATCGGCATTTTCACCAAATACCGTTACCAATCAGGCAGTTTGCTAACTTTTGATCTAGTGATCAGAAAAGAATGAAATATAGCTCATTGGAATCGACCAAATAGTCTCAATAAGACGAATCTAATAGTAGTAAAATCACATTTCTAGGATTAATACTTGATGAAAAATTAAGTAAAATATAAAAATAAAAAAATATCATTTATATTTTATTTAATTTTTTATTAACTATTAATCCTAGAAATGCAATTTTATTACCATTAGATTCGTCTTATTAAGACGATTCCAATGAGCTATACTTTATCTTTTTCTGATCACTGGATCAAAAGTTAGCAAACTGCCTGATTGGTGGCAGTATTTGGTGAAAATGCCAATCAGTCACCGATCAGTCGCCAATAAGCTACCTGATTGGTGGCTGATTTGTGACTGATTGATGCCTAATTTTTCACTTTCGACCTGTATTAGAAACATTTGAAAGATAACTGAATAGTTGATCTGAAACCATTATTTCATCTATTATAAGAATTTTTATTCTTTTAAGACTTTCTTTAAATGTTTTATCATTAAATGCCAATGTTTGAAAACCACCTGATGTAGCATGTATTTTTAGAACTGAGTGTATTATAGAACCTTTAACATTTTATGCAACTACTCCAGTTTGTGCTAGTAAAAGAGAAGGATCATTCCTCTTTTCAAATTCTTTTAGTAAAAAATATGTGACAAATGATTTACCAGTTCCTGCAGATCCAGTTATAAAAAAGTGTGGTCCAAATAGGACCCAGAAATATACATATAGGGGTCAGGTGGCGAAAAAAAAATTTACTATGAGCTGTACGCAAGGGTTTTTTATATGAACGGTACGCAAAATTGACACCTGATATTGAAAATCCTGCAAAAATACGCAAATAAAATTTCAGACCTCAAGATCACATGATTTATTGTATTACGAATTTTATCATTTACAAAAACAACCTATTTTACCATTTTTTCAATAATATCTTTTCTGCCAAAATAATCAAAATAATATTGTTTTCCATCTCCAACTAATCTTAGAAAATTTCCTTTAATTACTACTCTATTCTGTTTAATATGATATATAATGTTTGAAGGAATATGATGTGTGAGTATATAACAACCCTCTTTAACCATATCGGTAAATAATTCTAAATGTAAAGGAACAAATACATGTAATGAAATATATGAAATATCGTTCAAATCCTTAATAGGCATATCAGTATAACAATGGTGATTATAAGCCTCAAAATATAAAGCTTCTACTCGTCCGATGCACATCTGAGAACCATATCGAACAAATAAATAATCTCCCTTTATTAATGGAAATTCTTCAGTTATATTTGCAGTTTCAATATTTGGAACTATTTTTAAAATGTATGTTAATAGTTTAAACATAAATTTCTTTAATAAACTAATATAAAAAACTTACTTTTAATTAAACTTTCTTGGACATTTTTTTTATTTAATTTCTTTCTATTTTTAGATTTGGCTAATTCTTGATCGTGTAACTGTGCTAATGTTGTAGCAATATTTTTTCGATTATCCTTCCATCTTTTTTCCCTTTGAGTTATGAATCTTTGTTCTGGATTTTCATTTTTATTGAAATATGCAACAAAATGACTGGCCATATTTGGTTGAATTGAATTTGGATCTTCTGTTATTATTCTTGAATTTGCTCCAACAATTTTAAATTTTCGTTCAAGAGGTCTTGAACTATATGATTCATGGAATTTTCGCTGATTATACAAGAATTCAAAATCCAATTTATTGAAGGATAAATACCGACATGATAAATCAACTGTAGTAAATATGGTAATATTAATATTAAATGTAATATAAATATAATTTTTATATTCATTGTTAATATAAAGCTTACCACTATCCCCATCATTTAAAATATACAAATTTTCAGGAGGCTTATCAATTCCATCCAACTGTGAACGGCCTTCAGTAAAATCATCATTGAATTCACACCCATTATCATCACTAGTTTTAGCAATTTGTTTCATTTCTAAAGAAGCCTCACCAATAGCAGTTGATAAATTGTATTCATCATCATTATTATCATGGGATTGCTTGTCAACATCAGAACTTGAAATATCAATTTCATGTGATTCAATAAGGATCTGTGGGGTATCAATATCAACAGAGATATCAAATGGTTGAATCATGCCAACATATTCTGCAAGATCTTGAGCGAGATGATATGAATGATGAATAGTATCTGATATTTGCTTGTCATTAGGCCATAAGCGAAGTTTTTCTAAAGATAGCTTATCCAATTCAGAAGTATAGTCAAAAAGGTAGCCTAAAAATTTTTTTTTTCAGTTATTATTATTAATAATTAGAATTATAATACTAATTATAGTTAAATATATATACCCTCACGTACTGATCTTTCCTTATCAAAATTTAACTTTCCATTCCGTAGAGCTTTTGTGTATTGTGAAATCTTAGGCAACATTTGAATAAGTTCAGCAAAATCAAAGTCCGGATTTATCTGCCTTGCTACACCAAAGAAATGCTCGCATGACTCTGATCTATGCAACCAAGGAAGAAAAGGTACTTGAGTATAATAGTCTCGATGAGTTTTTACAAGTAATACCATTGATTCACAGAGAGAAGAAAAAATAGCAAAACTTTGGTCGGCCAGGAAATTTTGTTTAATAGATACAAAGTCTTGATATTTTTGGTGTAGAGTTGTAATGTGAAAGCGCCATAAATGAAGAAAAAAGTAACCTGTCATTGCCATACGTACTCTTTCAATTGGTGAAATAGTACGATTTAAATAGCAATCTACAATTTCTCCTAATTATGAAAAGTTAAAAAATTAATTAATTTAAAATAAAAATTAATTTAAATAATATTAATTATCAATTTTAATTTAATTTGTTTAATATTACGTACCCATGATAAATAAATATATTATAGTTCCTTTCATTCCTACTTTTACTTGAAAATCATGTGTAAGACATTGCTTAAAATTTGCAGAACAAAAAGTTCGATAAGCAGCAGCATCGTCTTGCTTATCTAATTTGATTACATCATTTTTGTACATAATTGAATCGTGCTGTTTAATTAAAGTAAGAAGATGATCATATCGGACTGAAGATATTCCAAAAGTTAAAAGCTGAGCTCCAGATATTATCGCTTTTCTTGCAGTTTTTTTTGCGTGTTTTGGGTCTTGAACCCGAACTACTGGACCAATCTTATCAAAAATGGGGCAGGAAAAATTAATATTTAATGTTGGTTCACGAATAAAAAGTCTTTGGGAAGTTTGAATATCTATTATTGATTGTTGTGCTTGAAATTCAGTAATAGCACCATCAGAACCAATGGATAATATATGGATTTCAAGCTGAAAAGCAATTTCTTGAATAAGCTTCTTATGCAATTGACTAATGGTTTTTGAATTATCATTTCCTTTATTTGGTATTATTTCGACGGCGATAGGTGGAAATTTTGGTAAAGGAATCTATTACCATTAGAATATTAAATTAATTTTCTTTTTAAATTTAAAAGAATAAAATTTAAACATTTTAATAATACCTGTAACATGTAAGCACGAACATCTTTAGCAATAGCCTTTTCATTTTTAATTTTACTAATTATATTGGGAATATCAGCATACACATTAATTTTTGTCTCTTCTACAGGAAATACGGATCCAATAATACATCCAAAAGTAGGTGAATATCGAAGACGAGATTTTAACTTGGTATTATCAGTCATCACTACTACTGGACCATTATATTGAATTGAATCAATTAACTGCTTAAACCTAGCAACATTTTCAAAACACAAATCTGGATTGGTTAAATGGTCTTCACTATTCCTTCTCAAATGTCTATAAACATGAAATTTAAAATCAAAATTATGTAAGATTAACAACATGCATATAAAATGATTTTCTTAACGTATCCATATATAAATTTGCTATTTACTGGAGTTTAAAAAAAAAAATTAAAAATTAATATACCGGATTGACTGAATCGTTCTGCCTTCTAAATTTTGGCGAAACAAATCCAAGGCCCTTGTACTAAATCCTCTTAATATGACTAGAAAACTTGTAAACTCTTCACTATATTTCAAATTTCTTTTGCTTTTGTTTTTCATTTTTCTCTCAATTGCATTGCCCATTACTTCACAAAGACCAGTAAATACCGGTGTATCCTTAAAAGCACCTTTTAATGCCTTATCAGCAAGAACAATCCATGGGTTTTCTGGTACATTTTCTGATTCATTATTAAGTACATTCCACATATCACGAAGATCAAGATTTTGGAGAAAATATTTTATAGGATTATCTTTCCAATAGTGTTTTGGAGTAAACTTGACATTAATAGGTAATGGTGAGGGACGAACAATTTTATTGCATAAAATTTGATTGTATCGAATAGCAAAGCATTCAGCACACACATTATCTTTTCCAGAAATTCCAGTACAACTTTTTGCACGAACAGCATTACCTTATTTAAAAGGATTGTTAATAATAATGTATTAATTATGACAAATAGAATATAATGCATACTTGCTCGATCAATTTTCCACACAGATTCTGCAAATAATGTACGATTCAATAGCTTTTTTTGTTTTGCATTCAATTTTTTCCTACTAAATTTCTGTGAAAATAAATTTGGAAAAAGTTCACGTGCAATAACCTCAACATGACGAGAACCACCAAATTGTGCAGGAGTTCGCTGAATATATCTTGATATTTCTGCAGATCGGAGACCAATACAATAATATCTTTTTTTAGTATTTTTTTCATTTATATTTAAAGTTTCGATAGCTGATAATTCTTGCATTTGATCTTTGCTTAATGTTTCATCAATTTGGATTAGATCATCATCATCCATATTATCATATACGTCAGAATCATATTCTTCTTCTTCATCAACATCTTTAGCTTCTTCAATTTGTCGCTCTTTTTTTGGTTTAAACCAATTATAAAGTGTCCTTTGTCCTTCATCAGCTTTACATCCAGAATGCCGAACATGACGGTTAATATAATCTTCTTCCCATTTTCGGTTGAGTGTTATTGTTTTACCACAAATGCATATTACTTTCTTGGGATGTATAATATGTGCAACATATTTGTGTTTAGAAAGTCTTTCAAAATTATATTTCCAATTTGTCATACTATTTACATGTACAAACTAGAATAAAAAAATCTGAAAATTTTTTTTTCTTTTTGAAAAAGAACAAGATTGTCGCAATCAGTTGATTTACATTTCAATTAAAGTAAATATTACAATGCTGTTTGCCAAATAAGTACATGATATACTATATATATATGTGATCGGCCAAATATAGGCGAAAATATGCAAACTAAATCTCTTACATATAAAAATTTTGGTAAAAAATACGCAATCTGATGACCTAACTATGGACAAAAAATCCTAAATTATACGCAAATCAAAACCTTACTCTGCCCAACTCCACTATGATGGCGACTCATTGGTAAACCCTACCCCTATATATATATTTCTGGGTCCTGTCCAAATTTCAAAAAATGCAAATTCCACATTTTCCTGAAAAATGGTGGGAAATTGTGGAAAATGCTGCATTATGCTAAGCAATTTTTTGGAATAGTATTGTTACAACATTGTTCAATTTAGCAAATTTTAAGAAAATTTGGGAAAATGCTGCATTATACTTCAAATGTAATATATTATAACATTTCACAACATTGTTATACCACATTAACACTGTCAATTAAAATCAAATTTTGCTTTTTTTTGTCAAATATTCTGATTTTCTTGCAAATGGTGCATTTTTATGAAAATTCTACATTTTACCTCCAATGTAATAACATTTCATAAAATTGTTATAACATTGTCAATTAACAAGAGGTTATTTTCATGGGGAAGCTTGATATGCTTTTAAAAGATCTTTTAAGTGAATGTTATTGTAAAAAAAAATGACTTCAATTTATAAATATACAAATTGTTGATTTCTTCTTTATGAATAAGCTTTGTTAAAATAAATAAATTTTTAAATCCAGTTTTTTCTTAAATAAAATGAATAGACAAATGATTTTTTCCTATTTATAATGAGTAAATTTAGTATAGAGAAATGGCAGATTTCAGTTTATTATAAGTTAAAATAGTAAAATAGTAAAAATTTGAGGAAATTGCTAAAACATATCCTGGGCAATTGTCACCTGGGGGTTTTTTCCAAATATGTCACATGATGTACAATATATAGAGTAAATTTATTAATCGGCTGACAGCTGATTTTTTTAGCTTAGCTAATTTTTGATCAGCTAAAAATTTTATCGCAAAAGATATTTTAAAAAAAAAATTTTGCAAACATATTTCTTCAAAATAATCTTATCTAATGAAATTTTATTTGCAAATATTAAAATTTAAGTTACACATTTACGATTTTAAAGAATAAATCACTGTATTTTTAATGAAGTGATACAAATAAAAGAAACAATAGCAATAAATAAAAAGATAAGTAAATTATAATGATCAAGAAGAAAGATGCTAATAAATAATGAAATAATAATGAAGTAATGGAAAGTAATAGATGATGAAAGGGAGTAAAAAGAGTAGTGAGAAGTGATAGGAAACAAAAAGGAGAAATATGGCATGATGGTAGATGAAGAGGAGTGATGGGAGACGGAAAAGAGTGATGGGAGACGAAAAAGAGTGATGGGAGACGAAAAAGAGTGATGGGAGATGAAAAAGAGTGATGAGAGATAAAAAGGAGTGATGGGAGACGAAAAGGAGTGATGAGAAGAAGAAGAGGAATGATGGGAAGTTAAAAGTCGAAAAGGAGTAATGGGAAGATAAAGAGGAGTAATGGAAAGATGAAGAGGAGTGATGGGATATGAAAAGGAGTAATAAGAAGATGAAGAGGAGTGAGGAGTGATGGGAGATGAAAAGGAGTGATAGGAGGTAATGGGAGACGAAAAGAAGTAATGAGAAGATAAAGAGGAGTGATGGGAGATGAAAAGAAGTGATGAGAATATGAAGAGGAGTAATGAGAGATGAAAAGGAGCGATGAGAGACAAAAGGAAATGATGGGAAGTAAACAGGAGAGAAAAGAGAAAATGGAAAATGAAAAGATGTAATAGAAAATAATGGGAGATAAAAAGTAATAGAATAATGAGAAGTAATAGGAGGTGAAAAATGATGAGAGACAAAAAATAAAAAAAGATCATGATAGGAGGTTGGGTAACAAAAGATAGTAATGATAAGAAACCAAGTAAAAATAAAACTATGAAGTAAAAAAAAAAATAAAGTTAGTAAGAAATAAAATATAAGATAGAAATGAAAATAAACAATAAAAAATATACCTTTATTAATTATAGAATCAAAAAAGAAGGAAATGATAATGAAGAAAATAATAGAACGGATATTGAAGAAGAAAAGAAATATTCAAAAGAGTTTACAAAATTATATACAGAATTATCTCAAGTAGAAATGGGACAAGTCAATGGAATAGAAGAAGAATATGAAAATGAAATATACCGTATAGATAAAAAGCTATACTGGATAAAAACTATACTATATAGATTTTCGTCGTCAAATTGATACTGGTATTTTTATAGTTCCGTGCTGAATATACATATAATCATTAGATACCTAAGAGGAATTCATAGGCGGTAGAAGAATATTCAGTACGGGTATGCACAGTTGATCAAATTGATTGAATATCCCCTTACCGCATAAGAATATATATATACTCATTCTTATGAAACAACCTCCATCTTCCACACTTACTGCAAAAAATTGAAAAAATAATAGCGTTAGTTGTCATAGTCGAAGTATTTAAATTGGAATCTATCGCATGGACTTAAAAATCTAAATACTAGACACATCTTCAATAACTGGACGTCACCAACTTTACATGGGACTGTAAGATCTCGTCATTTGGCGTAATAATTTAGTTATTTGATCATCATCACAGTCGCACGAACAATCACATAAATGTCGAAAATTAGTTTTTTTTTTTATTTTTTTTCTTAAAAAAAAAGAAAAAAAAATTTTTTTTGTTGTTTTATTAAACCATTTTTAAAGTTTCCTTTTTAAAAAATATTTTATAAGAAATTTATTCTAAGCCTTTTTCATTATTATTGCATAAAGAATGTCAAAACTCAATGAAGATATTCTTTTATTAATATTTAAAGAATTACGAGATGATTCAAAATCCCTCTTTTCATGTCTAATGGTCAATAGATTTTGGTGTAAAACAGTGATTCCAGTTTTATGGAGGAATCCTTGGAACTATTATATCAATTATAATAAGAAAAAGTATTTATTTGTAATCATTGTTTCCTATTTATCTGATAATGCTAAAGAATCTCTAATGAGATACAGAATCCGACTGCCGTCATTTTCATACCAAACACTTTTGTTTGATTATTTATCATTCTGTAGAAGTATTAATACAGATACTATGAAATCTATAATTTCTACTGCAACATCATTAGCTCATGCGCAATGTCTTTTGGAACAAGAATTTTATCATCTTTTTATGAAGAAATTCCCAGAGTTAAAGTATTTGGATATGAAATCAATTATTAGACATCAAATATTTCATCATCCAGAAGCTATGCTTCGTTCTGAATCACTTTGCGAATTAAAATGCGACACATCAATAGACTCTTCATACTTTTATAGCTTAGCACATATTTCTCAATATATACAAAGACTCATCATTGTTAATACAAAAGCAAACGGGTTTCATGGGATTGCTGAACTAATTGGAGTTCAGAAAAATTTAAAGTATTTTGAATGGAGAGATGTTGGGTATCTTCCAGTTATTATTCTCGAACCGGACCTATACAAAGAGATTCTTTTTGCATTAGAAAAAAGTGCAAACATTATCATTCATTTAAATATTATCTTTCAATTTATGAGTCGCTCATCACCAAAGGTATTCCCAAAATTTCATAAACTAAAAAGATTGAGAGTTGGATTAAATAGTTTCAGTGAAGAACAATTAAAAATTTGCGTTTATCATGATCTTGAGATTCTTGAAACAGATTATTATGAATTAAAAGCAGCTTCTATTATAATCGAAAATAGTGGAGGACATTTAAAGAAAATTTATCTTTACCGTCACCATGATATTGATGATGTAGACCATCATGAAAAATTTAATGAATACTCTCTCATGTTTATTCGCAAAGTTTATGAAAAGTGTCTTTCAATTGAATATTTGTCTCTTGAATTTCCATCATCAAAGCAGCATTTTAATGAATTTGAGAAATTATTAAAAATTTGTCAAAATTTGAAGTCATTAATATTAGCTATATATACAATGGATAATGTAAAAGGTGATGAACCACTTTTAGAAAATGGAAAAGAATTATTAAAATTATTGGTTAGATCAGCACCAACTAATTTAAGAGAAATTAGAATTCTTTTTGATGTTAAATTTTCTTTGGGCGCCTTGAA